CATTTACATACCAAAGTTACTCGCGAAGAAAGAAGAACAAAAAACGTTGTCAGCTAATTGTCAAGTTGAAAAAATTTCGTGAATTACACGGCTGCTCCGAATTTGCCACCGTTCCATGACTTCAGTTGGTTAATTCAAGCCTACGAAACAACACTGACCGCTGAATGCGTTCCACAATGAGAAATATCCAAATATTAATCTTGCTGTAACAAATTCCTGCTCTGTTGGTAATGCGTTATACGGAGCTCAATTGTAATATGAATTGTATATTTGCAATAACTGTATTATTTGCAATATTATCACTCGCAATTGTAACATGATGCAATCATGCAATATTTGCAATCAATACTTTTAGTAACATGACTTTTAGTAACATCATGTTACAATGTTACTAAAAGTTATATGAAAAAATTATTTTGTGAGCAAAAGGAATGTTATTTGATGCATATTTTGTAACGTTTGTTGCCTACTCATCAGCATAACTTCTGAATGATTTTGGAGATGAATTGGACCGTATCTGTCAATGAAAGAGCTTCTTTGTGCAACCGATTAATACGATTGTGATATTGGCTGCAAATAGCCTCATAGAGGTGTGAATATAGATTATCAGACATCCTAAAAAGCATGTTTTTATCATATCCACTTGTTGCACGAGGAAGCTAGTCAGTTATCGGAGAAAATTTTGTTCACTGAACATTCAAATTAATAGTGTTTTGCACATGCGAACAAATGTGTGACTCTGCCAGTGAAAAATACGGACTGATTACGCGTAGTGACGCTGTCCCGTGAAAATTGTTGCATAAAATGGCACGAACTGCGCTAGAATTTATCAGTTATCGAGTAACGTTACCGCATAATGTTCGCCACTGCAACTATCGCCGTGATCATCCTCCTTTCTTCAACAGTTTCAGCACAATCAGACAGTAAGCAGTTACAAGTTGTTGCAGCTAATTTTTCTTTTCGTAAAATGATTCCTGTGGCTCGCAACTGAACGATCGTTCATTTGAATATGGATTGTTTTTCGTGAAAGAATCTTTTTCATCACGAATAAGTGGACTAAGCAACAAAGAATACTGATTGTAGGAATAAAAATGTGGATTTTTGCTTGTTCAGCATTCAGTTACCGATCTCGGTCTCAGCATTCTTGTCATACCTTCCGTTATTTTAAAATGAAAAGCACCTGAAGATAACTGCATTGTGCATTAGTTGAACGCTTCTGAACTAATCAACTTCCGAATCGAGCAGAAATTCGTTCAAGATTTGAATTGAATTGATGGAAGATTGTTGGCTGTGTTGAGATTCATTGTACATTTGCAATTGAATAAGCCAGGGGTACGGTAGGTTGAGAGCAGAGGAAAGCATAAAACATAAGTCAAGTCTAGACTGTTTTGCGCAAATTAATAAGAATACCCAACAAATTCAGTCATTCAGATGCTGGCATCTGTGCAACGTTGGACCGTCAATGCGGGGCATCTTTCTTCTTGATGCGTCGCGTGGCTTGCGTATTCTATGGGGCACGATGCACTGAGCGTACCTCGACCGGTATGATTTCGGAGTTATTGTGAAATTCATTATTATTTTTTCAAAACTAATTGTTACTATTTTTTAGCATTATCAGCATTGTTATTGTCTCGTCATCATTATATATGTTATTGCTATCACAAATTTCATTGCCTGTTATTAGGAAATATATTGTGAACATTCCACCCTCTCACTCACGAACATTTTTGTTGTATTTCAGCACCGTTCAAGATAATTTTCCAGTCAGTAACTATTTAACGCTATTTTCAGCTTCTTGAAAACTCCGAAAAATTTTCATTTTCAAAGTAATCACAGTCAGATAGATTCCTAAATCCGTGTGGTCAACCTGATTCACTGATCAAGCACAATTAGATGCTTGCATTGCAAAGACGTTGAATTCATCCACAATTGTCAACACTGCATCAGATAATTGAGAAATGATTTTATCTTTTCGTTCAGGCTGCACTCATGGAAGTGAAATGTGCAACCGACACGAGACTGGTTGCTATCATGAAGGCGATATGCTCGAATGCATCGAATATGGAAAACACGATTGCATGGTACCGTGCACTGTGCAATTGGTAGTGATTGAATGAAATTGCATTCGAAAATTGCATTCTCTCGCTGATAACTATATTTTCTTGTTGTGTTGCCGAGTGGTGACAATGAAAA